GGCGCGGTCGGGCCGTCAGCTGGGCGACCGGGGTGTCGCGGTTAGAAACTAACGTTTCTGGTGGTGACTGGCCCGGCTCTCCCGTCCGTGCTCCTCGCGGGAAGCTGGATCTGGTCCGATTTGGACAAATGATGACAGAAACTGCTTCAGTTCTGGGAATCTTCCCAAGCCTGCGCCTGCGTTTTTCATAATGCGCTTTTCGTTTGCGCCCTGCACGCTGCGGACTGTATGGTCTAGTAGATTTGATAAGGCTTTTTCATTTTCCTGGCGCTTTGTACATCTGGGATGCCTTCAGATGTGCTGCAGCCGGTGAACCAAGTCGCTCTGAAGCACCCGGAGAGCTGGGCTCGGCGGCGGGCGTCCGTCTCACGAGTCTCTCCTCTCCGCAGCGGTGCGTGAGCACCGCAGTGATGTTTCAGGGACCCCCTGTGGGACTTGAGACCTCACGTCGTTTCTTGGGGGCAGAGTTTTGAAACTGAATCATCACTGCGCCTTTCTTCCCCTGTTTCCTTATCCCTAAGAGTTTTGACATACTCATAGCTTTTGATGATAGGTGTCTTAGAAAATAAAAATTTGTTGTCTTAAAGCACTTTCTGTATAAAAGCAGTCGCATCGCTGCTGAGTCTCCTCTTTATTTCCTAAGCTGCTGTGAGCACGGCTAGGATGTCTGGCTTCATTCTTGGTGGCAGCAGGATCTAATCCTGTTGAAGCGGACAGAGTCTGTCCTTATGGCCTAGGAAAACCCTTGAGCAACAGCTGAGACGCTGGTCTTGGTTTTGAATTCAGGAGGACCAGCCTGTGGTGTTCATAGTTGGAAAGCTGTTTGCACAGGGCTAATGCCTAGGACTTAATCTGTAATTATTCATCTGTCTTCATCAAGAAAGGTTTCTGGCTCACTGTTGACCAGTAGGTAACACGCACCTTTTGAACGTGCTCAAGCCATTCACTGTGATGCCATCGTGAGCTCTAGATGGTGGACGCCAAAATGAACTCGAGGTTAGGTGAGAGCCTGAACTTTCTGGGTATGAGTGTAGTTGATGTTCTAGAGCTTCAGCCATTCATTAGGGGGATCTGAACCACTGTAACAAGTTACGCACCCTTGTAAGTTGTGTGCAAGAGTAATAGGTCATTGTCTTTTTTTCTGCGTGTAAAACTTAATCTTCAAGAAGTAGTAAAAAAGTTAGGAAATAAAGTTTCAGACATACTGCAAACTTCTGAATAGTTCCTAAGAGCTTTTGAAGGTTTTGAGGGGAGGCTTGTGAATTGATTACTTTTCTGTCTTTCTTTCAGGAGAGCCATACCGACTTTTAGTTGGTATAGAATATGTTGTTGGACGCAAAAACTGTGCAATTTTAATTCAGGATGATCAGTCAATCAGTCGAAATCATGCAGTTCTGACAGTAAGTCGTCCTGAAACAACTCTTGTAAGTAGCCAGCGTTTTATTGCATTATCAATATACTGTGTGTGTGTGTGGATGACTCAGTCTGCTCTTGACTATACAGTTTCACTTTTGTTTCAGTTTCACTGATGTATTGCAGCTGGAAGAGAACCACTGATCATCTGTCCTTTCTTAATCTTGAATTCTTCGGACTTGCTTGTCTGTGTTGAGAAATTTACTGCCATAATTCCACTGGTTCAGGTTCCCGTTTGGGCATTCCTTCTATCCCAGAGTGAAGATCCATTAGGAATTTGTGTTAAAAGAATCATAGTGGAAAATTACACAATATAATTTCCCTGTGTAGACAAACTTTAGGTCTTGGTTCTGGAAAATGATTCAGTTGTCTTCTTCCAAGCCTCAAGACTTGCCTCTTGAGGTAATGTTTCACTCCACATTGTTAATTCCAGATTTGCTTAGAGGATGAGCATCCCAAGGAGACTTAACGAGTAGCGCCTTACTATCACTTCAATGTTGTAATTTCTGCTGATGCTTTGAAGCCCGTCGGTGGGAGTTTCACTTGTGTAACTGTACATAAAATTTGAAGTAAAAATATATGAAATATATTTGTTAATAATACAAGCATTGTATAACTACATAGCAGAATTTCATAAGAGCAAGCTGACTGTTCTCACTGGCTCGTGAACTGTTCAGGAAACATGACAGTGTCTAACCTGTTCCCAAGGAAAGCTGGTGTCACTATACTCTGCAGCTTGCAGAAGGCTAGCAATGCTTGTAGGAGGAAATAAAGGGAACCCCTTACTGGGCACCATAGGTACAAGTGACTTGGGCACCTATTCCAGGGCTGAATAGTAGGTAAAAGCATCGGTAGTAAGCCTCAGAGCCTTGCTAAATCATGCAGGCAAAGGCTTTGGGCTAGCCTTGCACAACCTCCAAAAAGACAGGATGTAAGAAGTACTAACACCCTGAAGCTAGAAATGCATTCTTCCTCCTCCTTTTGCAGTGGGAAAAAAAGATGTATAGCCAGCATCATTGTGCAAAACTGTTAGTGTAATATCTTGTGGGATTTTTCTTATGTATCAACTACTTTATTCTATAATAACAGAAACCTGTTTCTTTTTAACTAACGAGGCTTACTTATTCTTATTTTCAGAGCCAGTCTCTCTCAGTCCCTATATTAACAATAAAAGATACCTCCAAGTATGGTACCTTTGTTAATGGATCAAAACTGAGTGGCACTTCAAGGACTTTGCAGTCTGGTGACAGAGTCAATTTTGGAGTCTTTGAGAGCAAGTTTCGGTAAGAACTAGTTAACGCTGATTCTAAAATACCGGTTAGAAAACTACAGCTTTCCATAGGAGTACTTTAGCGCATCATGTAACTATATAAGAAGATAAAACAATAAAGAAATTCAAATTATGAGTTTTTAGAAAGCAAAGGAGATGGAAAAAATATTTTTTTCTCTTCGGCACGTGCTTCTGACGTTAAAATTGTTTATAGTGAAACATTGGCTTTTTGGAAGATGTTGCCCCATGTCCATTGAGTGCCTTCAGGCTATCTTAAGCAAAGAGCAAAGTTTTAGTTGACGAAAAGTAATCTTAAAACATAAACGGTTCTGAAGAAGGGAGGGAAGTTTAGGGGAGGAAGGGAGTTCTAGTAAGCTGTTGCTAGTGTAACAAGAAAAGAACTGAGATAGCTGGAGAATGCTTTATTCAGCACTGGCCATTGAATGCTTGTTACTATGACATACGCTTGCATCCTCTGTAGTGAATGCAACTTAATATTCGTTATCAAATTTAATGTGCTAGCCAGTGCTATCCCTGCAAATACATAGCAACACTGCTAGAAGTCAAGTGGCAGGTAAATAGCACGTTTACTAGTAAAGACCACTAAAATCAGTACTAAAGCAACCAGAAGTTGTTTTTTCTTAAAATTTAGCTATTATGTTGTTACTGCTACTGCTATTATTTAATAGTAAAACAGCATTCTTCACCACTTCTTACAATAATTTACTTTGGATGTTTTGGATAAACATACCTGAAATGTGGTAGAGGATCTCATGTCATAAAATCAGATGCATTGTGACTTTTGTACCTGAAAGATGATTTAAATCTTTCTGCTTTGTCAACTAAGGCAAACCAAATCATGGAACCTGGTATGCTGTAATTCCATATGGAAAATCTGCAAATGTAATAGGTGTATGGTCAAGAGTAAGGGAATTTAAAGTTACTTGAATTCACACTCTACGAAACTTCTAGGTTTTAAGTATTAATCCCTTTACTTTACAAACTGTTCTATTAAGCATACTTTTTGCCCATAAAAGCACACATAGGGTTTATTCCAGTATTCCTTTCATCTTGAACCTTGCAGCGTTCTGGAAGCAGTAATTCCATGGGATGCCTGTGCTCTTTCTTGGGACCAAAGAAATTTGGGTAGCCTCAGAAACATTGGAGACATCAAATCAAAATGCTGTTTAATTTTTCTGAGTAAAAAGCAGTATTTCCTTTCCTCAGGCAACCTTAAATCACAATCTGTGATCTGTGTAAGATATGTGGGGTCGTTATGGGAAATTAAAATGCTGTTTAATTTTTCTGAATAAAAAGCAGTATTTCCTTTCCTCAGGCAACCTTAAATCACAATCTGTGATCTGTGTAAGATATGTGGGGTTGTTATGGGACAAACATTGTTAACAGTCAGCTCTATCCATCAGAGTGCTTCACTAAAACTAAGATGACAATTCTCTTATCTTTGTCCTTTGCAGAGTAGAATATGAATCTTTAGTTGTCTGCTCCTCATGTTTAGACATGGATGGGAAAACTGCTTTGAATGAAGCCATCCAGCAGCTTGGAGGCCTTGTAGTGAACGAATGGACCAAAGAGTGTACTCACCTTGTGATGGTGTCAGTAAAAGTTACAGTTAAGGTATGTAGAGGTTTTGCATATTGATTGAGTTGCTTTGCAGTTTTCCTACAAATGAGAACAATTAAATTCTAGACCTGCTCAAGACCGTGGCAAAGACTCGTTTGACTTGAGTTGGACAAAATTTTCCTTTACAAAGCGATAAAGCCTACTCTTTGTGTTCCAGGTTTAGAAAGAGATGTATGTTTATGGGAGATTGGAGGGAAGAGAAAGTGAAAAAAGCTATTTAAATGAAGAAGGGAGTAGGAAGAGGATGGAGAAAATTAAACATGCATCTCTCTGTTTCAAAGCCAAAATGTCATTTTTAAATGAACTGGAAAACTCAAAAGGAGAAGTAGTTTTCTTTGAAAACTTACTAGGAGAAATGAGAGAAACTTACGTTGCTTTTTTTGCTTCCAGTGTTGCTCTATTTGTGGAAAAGCCAGTCTAACAATTAAAAAAAAGCTATTTCCTCCTCTTTTTTTTAATTGGCTAATCTCTCCTTATATTTTTTTAAGTTTCTCTGCAGTTCAGTTCCAGAGTCCCTGAGTATGAGAACTGAGGGCTTTACCAGGAAGGGTGAATCTTTTTCCACTGTACTTCTGCTGCTTCTCCTGTGCTAGCCATACCTTTCATGCATCCACACAGTAATTTGGATGAGAGAACTCATCTAGAGGAAAAAAGTAACCTTGCAATGTAAGAGAACATATTTTTTGATCTAGTTGTATGAACATTAGTGCCATCCCAATGAGGGAGCTGAGAGTAAGCACTGGGATGGTAAAAGAATGAAATCTCCTTTTTTTTGGTGATAGCCCACATGAGTCTTTGCTTCTGGACTATGGAGCTTCACTTCACACCCAAATTAATAGAATTACTCAAGATAGTGTTGTTGTAGGTCTGTAAAAGAAAATTGTCTAACCAGGTAGTATTTACTTAGTTTCTAGTCTGTATTTTCATAGCCATTCTAATTATTTGCAGAGTATAAGATTTGATGCTCGCTAGGTTGTAATTTCTACTGGTGTTTTCCGTTTCTGAACAAAGGACAGATTTCTTATTAGTCTTCTCATTTCTCCATGTCTTTCTTTTCTCTTTGATTTTTAAGTTATGTTACAGGCAGGTTAAAGGAAGCACAGTAGTTTATTGTGGGAGGAATCTCTAGCCTTTTGAATTTCCAGTTCACTTGCTGTACTCAGTATAATTGTGTACAAATTGGATATTAATGCTTATTTAGTCACTGTTTGATTTCTAAATACTCTTTTTCATGAGCTATTATGCAGGGCTTCTGTGCCCTCCTCACCATAAACCGTATTGGCTTGTTTTGTGTTCTGGAGCTTTAGTTCTCCTTTTGAAGACTCTTGATTTTAATCAGTTGGCTTATTCATTTTCCTAACTTTGGTCAACGCAAAAATTAAAAGAGATTCTTAAAACAATTTTACTATGTTTCTCAAGAGCGCAGTCAAAGTTGTGCAACGTTTTCCACCTTTGAGATCTTATAAAGCTAATATCAGTTGAAGCATATTCTAGATCAGTTTTTCAATGCAGTAAATATATTTTCCGTCTTTTCAGACTATATGTGCTTTGATTTGTGGTCGACCAATTATAAAACCAGAGTTTTTTGTTGAATTAATCAAAGCTGTTCAGTCCAGACAACAGTTACCAGCTCCTGAAAGGTAAGTACTGTATTTTCAGTGTCACAGAATTAAATTTATAGGAATTAAGTTATCAAATAATTATACATTTGTTTGCTCAAATTTGACAAACTGTATGAATTGCAGTAAATTTAGTTGCAGAAGAATGCTTAATAGGAAACACATTTTAGTATTCTGGCAGTCGTCTTGCTTTCATCTGTAGAGTTTATGTTTATAAATATGTGTGTGTGTATGTGTGTATGTATATATAAGGGTAGCTCTTGATATTTATTATATATGCAGAGAAATTATTAGCTCTGGGTAGGGATGTGTTTTCAGAGTTGCTATAGCAATCTATGTTGTAATGTTCGAAACAACTCTTGAAAGCTGATACGTTAAAACCAAGAAAATGAGATTTTTATAAAAGAAATATTGATAAAATACAAGCTTATTTCAATATGGAAACATATTTCCCAGCATGCTGTTAATTTCTGACTTCTGAGTTTATTGTAAGCTTTGGCCAAGAAAGAGTTAGCCTGACGATTAAATTCCCTGAAATAGCAATTTTTATTTTCTGTCGAGAGTTGAAGTGAGACCAATGTGCATTGCACTACAGTATGTGAATATAAAATACTGTTTTCAGAGTTAGATTAACTGGAAAAGGTAATTCTTACATTGGAATAAATAAATATTGCAGAACAGCCCTTCTGGTCAGTTTCTCCTTGTAGACAAGTGTAAAATAATCCTGTTATTATGTGAGAGAATTTCACCTGAGCCTGTAATGCAACCATTTTTACCATGAAGAGAGAAACTGTAGTGAGACTCTCTCTCTCGCTCTCACTCACTCTATCACTTTTTTTTTTTTTTTTGTTAGTATGAGCACATGATTTATGCAGGTGAGAAATTCTCCTTATCTGTTTTTTTTAAAAAGTAAATTGCATAGGTACTTGTTGCTTTGATCATTTCTGTTCGTGTTATGCTTTCAAAGGCATTAAAAGAAACAGACGATGAATGAACGTGGAAAGAGTACTTGGCATTTGGAAAATAAGAAGTGTTGAGCCCTTATGTTAGTTAATAGGGAGAATAATTTGTGAAGTAAAGTTATTTGAAATGCATTAAAGCCATTAGAATTTTTCTGGATGTATTGTTTTAACCTGGTGGAGACTGGACACCAGATCTTTGAGTTGGGTGAAATGAGTGGTGAGGAAGAATAGAAATAGTTTTATTACTTTTATATATATTTATATATTTTGTTATTACATATTTTATTATATTCATATATATATATAACATAAATACATGTGCATAATGTGCACCTGTACACATAATGGTGTACTTAAAGTATATGTGTATACATGTTATGACATAGAGATTTAATTAATTTTACTGAATGGGTCTGATAATAGCCATTGGTAGAATAGTTTAAAGGAGAGTGGAAAAAGGGCAGCTAAACAAACCTCGCTGGTGCATGCACGGCATTCATGAGAACCTGTAGTTGTTAGGTGGTAAACCTATTTCACAGAATATAACAATGCCTTGTTAGAACAATACAGGTGCCAATCTGGAGCGATTGGTAACAAATATTCTTTAGTTTCTAGCTGCTGTTTTACAGTTGCAGAGGTTTATGTAATGCATCAAATTGGTCATCTCAGAGTTTCTCATCTTTAAAGCTCGTTTGCTCTTCCACTTCAGAAAGAAGGGAGAAACTTGGTCCACTGTAATTTTTCCTTCTACTTAAACTTCTGCATTGTTTTTGAAAGCATATGAGAAGACTAACCAGAAACTATTTAGAAGCCTATCTGGAACACTACACATCAGTTATAATGGCAGATTATTTATTTATTTTAATACAGATACTGCAAGCCACTGAAAGCCAGCCGTTGGTTGTGTGATCTGAGATGAGCTTGTTTTAGTGACAGCTACCTGTCAGGCTGCTGCCAGTGTGTTAGCACTGCTTAGGCTCTTAAAACCAGGGTGCGTATTGTCCCTTCCTTCAGTGTTAAAGTCTGAGGAGCAGACAATATAATTCAGCTGTTAAGTGCTCCCTAAATTAGAAGTTGATGGACATTTCCCTTTTTTTAAAACATTTTTGTTAATTATTGAGACCCTCAGAGGAACTGAGCTCAGTACATGTGATTGACACTAGCAGTATATCCGTTATTTAGCTTTCAGAGAGATAGTTATGCATCAAGTAAAAGAGACAGCTGGTGTAATAAACAGTTCTATATTTAAAATAATTACAGTATTTCAAATGGATGATCTTTTAAGATGTAATTTGTGGGAAGATACTGAAAATTTACTTAGCAACTGTTTGCATTTCATTTCCAAAAATGCTTTTAAGTTTCACAGGGAATCTCTACACTGCAGCTTCCGCACGACGCTACGCAACTTGTGGCAGTGCTAGTTCGGATCTGAAATAAAAAAGATGCATCGGTGTGGTGATGCAGAGTGACACTGTCAGTTAAAACCTGATTACTACTGTGGAACTGAGCCCAAGGAATCTTAGCGTTAAGAGAAGATAATCCTAAAGTTCAAAACCATTTTGGCTTATACTTTGCAGAACTGCAGACCTGCAGTTAATATAATGAATGTGGCTTCTTATTTGAGACTTCTTACCATGAAGTATTTACCCCAATCCTTTAGTACCCACTGGAACCTCAGGATTCACTACTGGCTAAGTGCAGCCCTGTATGTAATGACAAATTTTGTTACAGCAGTTGAGGGTATAGGGTGCTGGGCTTTGAAGAGGTAGGAAGGCAGAAACTGTTTTGTCATGAATCTGACAAACAGAAACTGTTTCGTCATGAATCAAGATCTTTTAAAGGAAAGATTCTGGACTGTAGGGGGGCTTTTCTGGATAGTGGTGTTGCTGTATTCAAAGATTTGGGGGAGAGAGTAGAAGGAGAGGTTCAGACTCACAGAATGGAAGGGGAGTCTGTTCCCTGGGAGCTCAGGTCTGGGCTGGGTGAGAGTTTCAGAGCAGAATAAGGAGCAATGTTCTTGAGGGGCAAAAGGAAAAAACAAAGGCAAGGTGATCATTTGAAGGTTGCTGCTGAAAATCAGAAAGATAGGTTTGAAATGTATTTCTAGGAAAAAAGGTAGTCGAGTTCTGAAGTAATGAAAACTGTTATTTGTTTGTACTTACCTTTTGGTTTTTAAAAATTACTCTGTCCCCTATATTTATTATAGGTTAATACTTGCCGCTGTAGGGCTCAATATCTGAAGTCTTTTGGCCAAGTAACGGAAGTACAGAGCAGAAGCAGAGTTTGCAATCAAAGGCTGAATTGGAATACAGTTCATCTGTTTTTATTTGCCTGAAATTTACCTGTACCGTGATTGTCATGATAATACTGCCAGAAAACGTTGAGATTAGGCGTTAGTGGAAAAGGTCAAGTTGCGCTGATCAGTAACAAAACTTGCGGTGAGATTCTCCCTAGGTTGTCTTTAAGGTTTTTTTTTCCTGATAGAGAACTACCTGATGTAAGACAGCATAAAAAAGGAACAAATAACTGTAGCATAGCTTCTAGGAAGAAAATTCTTGAATTTCCGTTGTTGCTGCTAAGCAACGTGAAAAAACAAACTCAGAGGCTGGCTTCTGTGAAAATGACAAAAGCCTGCTACCTTCATATAGATCCAGTCGTATGGCTTACCTGACTGCGATGGCAAACTGAACAGTGTTACTTTCCAAGGTTCATCTAGAGCTAAATTCATACCTTAGGACAAAGGAGCCCTATGTTATGGGCAGTATCTTGGCTTCCCTTTTTTATTAAGGAAGCAATTAAAGACTTACCTAAAAAGACCATATTTTTCTTTCTGGCTTCTGATGCTTCAAGCAATGGATTAAAGACTTCTAGCTAATATGGTAAGATATGTTGTCAGTAGCATATGAGATATTCTTCAAGTTGTTTCCGCTCTTTACAAAAAAGTGACTGAAAATTTTTGCTACACTTTTCAATTATGCGAGAGATTTTTCTCAGCTTTAAATACGTTGCAGTAGCAAGGCAATAGGAGAGTTATCTCTGTTAGCCTACTAAAAGACTTTTAAAGAGCTTTCTATTTGTTGAAAGTTACTTATAGATTAGGTGGGGGTGTCCCAGTTGCAATTTTTAAGTTCTTTAACAGTGACAGTGCTGGAGACTTCTAATGACTACATATTTGTAATTGCATTGTATGCTTTAGCAAACAAGCAACCCCCTCTCCTCCCCCCCCCCATTTTTTTTTCTTTTCTTTCTGATGAAGCTCATACTCTTTTATATCATTGCTTGATTCACTTGTAAAAGAGGAAAAATCAATGGAGGATTTTTTTAACTGCAAATGGAACGGTTTCCTTTTTTCCCTTTGAGGGGTATTAGGCAATTCATTTGGTGAACATACTGGCTTTGAATAAACAGTCACGTTTTGACTTGAGCAAATAAACTTACTTTAATTTGCTTTCTTGTGCCTCTCCGAGGGGAATGAAATTCTTTGGAAATTATAAACTCTACTGAAAGATTGAAACTCAAGAAAAGGCTGGCTAGAAAATGTTTATATAAGGAATATTGTATACTCAATTGCAGTAATGTGTCTCTATGGGCTTCAGGAGTGACTTTGGAATGCACTGATATTCCCTATTAAAATCTGGGTTGCTTTATTCCTTAAAATTAGTGGAATTTATAATATCTATTTCAGCATCAAATGAAGTAATGGAAAAATATTTTGGAATACAGACTTATGCAGGTTGCTGAAACTTATCAAATACTCATTTTTCAAAAGCTGAAGTTCGTGTTGGTTGCCAGTTTCAGTTGTATATGTAAAGCTTTAGGAACTGATAGAGAAGAACACAAAAGAACAAAGTTTATTTAAAGCTAACTGTAATATTTTAGTACGTTTTAGCCAATTATGATGGAATTGCTTGTTTGAATGCAGTATAAAATGTACATGTCTATTCATGTGTTCAGCTTTAAGTATGTGAGTAATCTGTGTCTCTGAGGGAGAGTATTGGTGTGCTTATGGATGGTGGAACTACCTATATATATAATAAATGCTTCCCTCCCCTCCCCCCCAAAACTTACATATTTCAGCATTTCAGGGATTATATTGCATGTTTAGAAACTGATAATCTTTAGATAGATGTATAAAAAATACTAAGTATGTGTATGTATATAATTTCATGAGTAGTTGACCTCCAAATCTGGTTTGTGTATTCAGCATCTCTTCTTTCCGCAAAATAGCGCGAGAATAACATAAAATCAGCAGTCACAATAAAGATAGGTAGTTCTGCATTCATCCAGAGTACATTCATGAACTGCTATTTAGGTACACAAGGAGTGTAGCTCAGTTAAAATCTACCCACACTCTCACGCCTTTTTAGGCTATGCCTTCACCTTGTTCTGTCCAAACTGCTGTAGTAAATGTGCGGCTCAAGGATCCTGTAAATGCTATCCTGAAATTTGCGGTAAGATGTCTGTTGTAACTCCATGGGGTTTTTATGAGGTCAATATGCTGTCGTTTATGGATCTGAGATCAGTATATCATTTTGCAAATAACCAGAGTTATCCAGAGGTGTCACATGTGCGTTTCTGATTTGGTGTGAATTACATGACGGTACAGTTTGACTCTTACCTAATCTCTTCCCCAGCCACACTCTTGCTTATTTTCTTTGCGTTGGACAAAACAATTATGAAGCAGCAGAAAGAAAAGAGTCTTTGTTTTCTGCCAGAGTAACAAGCTGTGATCTAGTTTGGTGGTGCACGATTTTTTTGATCCGAAGGAGGGATGGCAGTCTCCACTTGAAGGACAGAGGAAGCAAGATGGTCATTTTTGTTTAGAGTTTACTATTAGCTAGAGTAAGTGCAGAATGAGATTGCAGTCTCATTTTTCAGTATTGTTAGTTGCAAATGTAAAGTGGTTGCCTAAAGTAGATAGGCTGAATACATTCCTAAAAGTGTTATGCTTTTTAACTGCTGAAGTAGAAAATCTTGGGCTTACCTTAGATATCGAGACGTGATAGGCTCTTTTTCCTCCTCCAATCTCTTGAAAAATATATATGTGAATAGTTTTAACAGAAAGACAGACATTCAGTATTTTACCTTTAAGGCTTTCCTCTGAAATAGAAAGGAGTATCATTCAGTATTGGTGTTTAAATCTGAATTTCATAACTCTGATTTTCTGTTCCTGCAGCTTTTATCCTCTAGTTGATGAGCCTTCCATTGGCACTGAAAAACTGGATCTATCTGAGCGTCATGAAAGGAAAAAGATATTCAGTGGAAAAACTTTCCTGTTTCTAACTGCCAAGCAGGTAATTGGGCTTTGCATTCCAGAGATATTGCAGAGGCAGTTTAGCACAGCTTCTATTCTCTGTGGATTCATATTCATTCAGGCGTCATCAGGAGAGAAAGATTTCCATATATGCATCTTTTTACAAGAAAATGGCCTTAGTAAGACTAAATATAATGGGAGAAACTGAACACATTTGCATTAATGCATCAGTGGTGAGCTTATTATGCTGATGGTTTAGTATGCTTCTAAGCTGACTAATACATTTTAACATTTGTTTTTTTTTTTTAATTGCATTCTCTTTAGCACAAGAAACTGAGTCCAGCGGTTATTCTTGGAGGAGGAGAAGCAAAATTGTTGACAGAGGGAAGAAAAGAAACTTCTTTACTGGTCGCTCCTGAAGTTTGTGTTGTTAATGTTGAGCTGACAGACTCACAGATCCCAGGATCTGAGTCTATGAGAAACTGGACTGATTCCATTCTGACTGTTCTGCAGAGGTGAAGCGTTGCTCTCTTATACTGTGGTGGGGTAATTTCAGAATTCTTGTTGTGATTTAGTCATAATTTTTGCATACTTAAGGTGTAGGATACTTAGGCATTTTATTCACTGCTCTAAGTATTTAAATAACGTAGAAATTAAATTTCTTGGATCAGGAAAGAAAGGACTTGAATGTTATATGAGTTCTTTTTTTTTTTTTTAAAGAGGATCCAGTTCTAAAAAAAATTACTTGTTAATGAATCTACTTTATTAAAACAATGTTTTTTGAAATTAAATAGCAAATGTTGTTATTCTACTATTTAAAAGAAGTTAAAAATGAATATATTCTAAAAATGGGGGCTAGATCATCTATGTTGATTTTGAAAAGTCAATATATATTTTACATATTTATTTCACAGAAACAGGTGAAGTGGCACCTTGAGGTCATGTCATTCATTACCCTTTAAATATTTGCATATAATGTTTTTGAAAAGCAGCTTCTATTTAATAAAAATAGATTTTTTTGATCTATCTATTTTGATATTGATTTTTTTAAGAGAACAGACTATATATTTTATAGCATCAGCAAAATGCTATCATCTATAATAATAAATAGCAAAAGAAAACAAAAACCCAGCTCTTTAAACCTAGTAGGTAAACACTGTCTAGTTCTCCTGAATTTCCTGTAAAATAGGGGGGGGGGGGGGGGGGGGGGGGGAAGGAAACAACCCACTGTGCTTACACTGTGCTCATGGCTCTAATGCCAAAAAGGCACGTCTGTACTGAAATCTGTTTTGTCAGAAGTACTTGAATCTTTCATGTCCCTCTTCCATTCACATACATTTTAAAATTAGTGGAAGCCCACAGATGGTTAAATGCCTAGTTCTGAGATAAAGCAGTGGAAGGTGCATTTGCCAGATTACTGGGACTAGGCAGTAGCCATGGCTGCAGGAAACATGGAAGTTCATGCTTGGGGGACATGGGTATGACAGCGGGTAATGGTGCTTACTGTATTGTGGAAGACTGTAGTGCAGACTGACGTTTTTGCATGCAGTGGGAGTAGAGCATTTGTACCTTATCATATTTGTTACCATTTACTACTTCAACTTTGAATCTGTATTGAGAAGCGTTTTTCAGTGATTTTTCTTAATATTATTTGTGTGTTTGATAGCAAGGATCTGAGGGCTATTCCTGAGGCAGAAATTGGATTGGCCGTTATCTTCATGTCTACAGAAAGATACTGCAACCCTCGAAAGCAGCCTAGTAACAAAGGTAATGGGAGGAAGAGTACTAAAATGTTAACCACATTGAAGAGGCAATATTTCTGTGTGTGCAATCTTTTTTTTTCTTTTCTTTCTTTCCTTCTTCTTTGGCTTTTATATTTTTCCTTTAAAAGACCACTAAAATAGAATGATACTGTATGAAAAATATGTGCAAGTCTGAAAGGTAACTGAAAAGGTAACTATTCTTTAATGGTCTTGCAGTAAATCACGTTGAAAACTCTTTGTCCTGTAGATGTAAACAAAACAGTAGAAGACCTAAATTAGGTTAACAAGCAGACATAAAATACAATGACCTGTAAAGGAAAGGGGTGTTTTGTTTATTTTTGTTTGTTTGTTTTGTGAATCTTCTGAAGTTCACATTTTTAGTGGCCACTGGAACAGTACTATATAATAGTTTGCGAATTCTGTGTTATTCCAGCTGTTGTGAAATCATGGGGGTCATAAGGAAGTAAAAGATGAATGTTAGAAACTAAGAGAATAAGCAATGAATTAATTTGTAAAGGTTTGCCTTATTTGCATTACAGGAATTCCTCCCCTGCCCCCACCTCCATTGCAAAAGCAAACATAACCTTAAAAATAACAATTGAAACCACTGAAACAGCAGTTCCACTTTTGCTAAAGTAATAGTTTGGGGGCAGACATTTCAAGTTTTGTTTTGAAGCATAGCGTGTATTTGCTAATTAATAGAATAGGAATGAAAAGGTGAGAGACAAAGTTTTTATTTTGCTGTTTCTCTTGTCATGTCTCTTCCAAAATTATTAATATGTTTTGTTTCTATAAAATTGTTGAACAGAGCATAATTTAAGATTCTATGCGTTACTCAACAAAGTGTTGCATCAGGTAGCAAGTCCTTAAGAAGCTTTAAAAAACTTGAACCAAATTAAGAACTAAATAATAATCCCAATTATGGCTGCCACATATTAGAGATCATCATGAAACACTAAGTGCAAGCTGATATTGGATCTTGGGCTCTGACAGTTTGGCATGAAGTATGTATTGTATGATTTTTTTACAATTAATTAAGTCCATACTAATTACACTGATCCTTAATTTGTAAATCAGTAAAGTTCCTTAACTTAATTTAGTGCCATTTTTAATTAAAAATGAGCCTCAGAATCCTGTCATTCAGACAGTTTCTTTGAGTTTTTAAATGACTGAATCTGCATGATTTTGTGATTAAAATAGAAAAATAAATTACTTGAAGAACAATTTACTAAAATTTCACCTGGTCGGTTACCAAGGATGATAATGTGATAATACGTGCAGAGAAAAACAGAATGGATGTTAACCTTTTAATTTTTTTCTTGTATTGCTCTCGCAGCTGCAACTAAAACTACTACTGCATCAGCGGTTCTAGGACCAGCTGTTTCTCAGAGTTTGGCCGTGGCTGAAACCATAATGCCAGCTACTGTGGATAGCAGCACAATGTACATAGCTGATACAAAGCTAGAAGAGCAGATATGGTAAGCATGAATGGAAATAGTTTCTATGCTAATGCTTGCAGATAGAGTGAACTTACGTGGCAGAGGAACTATATGATTGCCATGGACAATGATGTACAGTGCCTGAAATGACAGTTACTAAATTGCTGTCACTTGTCTGCAGTGAGCTAATTCCTGCTTTCAAGGGGTAGATAGCAGAAAATATCAGACAGGGCTTTTGACTCTTTCGGCTCCAAAGTGAATATTGAATATCTGACTCTCAAAACTGTATTCAAAATTTTAAAGCCATTTAATAATTATTACAGCATTTTATCATAGCATATTTTACAGTTTATATTGTTAGCATGCTCACGTTGTTAATCAGTGTGTTCAAAGTACAGGTACAGCTTTAAGAAAATGATATTCTACAGTGTTTATCTGTATTAATTTTTTTTTCTCTTCTCTGATACAGTATGGAGATAGAGAAGACCCCCCAGATGGACAGAAAAGGGAAAATGGCTTTAACCACTGTAAAGGAAAACCCTAGCACAAGTGGCAATGTAAACACAGGAACATTGATGTCTAGAATGAACAGAACATCTGGATTTAGCCAAAAAAGTCAATCTCTCTCACCATATAACATTTCAGAAGTTGGTAAACCTTCACATCAGCAGTCTAACTCAATTACAAATTACTTCTCAGTAGCTAGAGGGAAAAGGTATGTTGAGGTGCTCTTGCTGTTAGTTCTTATTGTTGTGTTGGTGCTGTTTCTGGAAACTTAATTTTAGCTCAAGGGTGTACATTTTAGTCAAAACAAAGACTTAACTATTGTAGTAATAAAAGGTGGTGCTGTATTTTATTTACGTTTTAAAAGTTAATTTTTAGATCAGTATCCTAAAATGGAGAGCTTTGTCTCAAGGTTATTTATATTCAGATTTCACAATACAGTCGCTATTATGTTACTGATGCAGTTAATCATAGTTAAACATGCTTTTGTAATTCCTTTTTTTTTTTTTTTTTTTGTAATCCCTTTCTGGATAAGGGAAAGAACTGAAGAAGAGCAAGAAACGTCTGCACCTAAACTAGCGAAATTGGAGGAAAGGTTGTCGCCTCTTTCCAAGCATACTCAACCCACAACTTTGATAATGGGGAACAGCGAAGCTGAACAGTATCAAAAGGAAAACAACATCCTGGACCAAAAACCTAATTTTACATTAGAAGACACAGGTGGAAAGCTTTTGAGGGAAAGTGGCAAACCAGCAAGTGATAAAACTGACAATAATGAAAAGCATGCACCAAAGAAGAGAAAGGAGTTGGATGTTTTATCTGAAGATACAGAGGCACTAGAAATTGTGTTTGG